GCACATTGCTACACTGTTGACAAGTGTCCAGTACCATGACGTCATGCTACCTGGGACCATTTCTCTTGGCGCTATACAGACCCAGGGTGTGCTAATACAAAATTCCCCTTGACGCTATTCTGCCGCGGCTATGCCATTTCGCGCCAAAAATCTTGACGCTATTCTGCCGCGGGCCATATTTTAATAACTCCCACTGACGCTATTCTTACCCCATTCACTACTTAGAGTAGAAATTTTAAAATTGTACACATGGATGCAGACCGGAGAAAAAATGTTGAAGTGTGAAGTCTGTGCCATCATGTTTAGCCGGAGTGGAAGTTTACACAAGCACAAGAGGAAACATACTGGAGAAAAACCATTTAAGTGTGAAGTATGTGATAAAAAGTTTAGTCAGAGTGGAAATTTAAAGTTACACATGAGAATACATACTGGCGAAAAACATTTAAGTGTGAAGTACGTGATAACATGTTTAGTCGCATTGATAATTTAAAGCTTCACATGAGAATACACACTGGAGAACACCACTTAAATTTGAAGTATGTTACAAAATGTTTAGTTGGAGTGGAGATTTAAAACTGCATATGAGGATACATACTGGACAAAAACCATATAAGTGTGAAATGTGTATCAAAATGTTTAGTGTACCAGCCAGATTACAGAAGTACAAAATGATGCATACTGGAGAGAAACCATTAAAGTGTGAAGTATGTGGTAAAATCTTTAATATATCTGGAAGACTAAAGAGGCACATGATGAAACATACTGGAGAAAAACCATTTAAGTGTGAAGTTTGTGATAAAATATTTTGCGTACCTGAAAGTTTAAAGAGGCACATCACGATACATACTGGAGAGGAACTATTTAAGTGTGAACTATGTAATAAAATGTTTAGTGTACATGGATATCTAAAACAGCACATGACATGACGACACATATTGGAGAGAAACCCTTTTAGTGTGAAGTGTTTGGTAAATCTTTTTTTTTTTGTATAAAGGTAGTCTAAAGAGTCACATGAGGATACATACTGGGAAGAAACCATTTAAATATTATTGAAGTGTGAAGTATGTATCTTGTTTAGGTGGAAGTTTAATGCAGTGCATGTGGATACATACTAGAGAGGAACCATGGCATGGCATGGCATTTGTATTATAGTCATGTATACACTCTCGTGTTTTATGACTTTAAGCCCTAAAAAGGGCTAGTGGCCTCTCCCCCTTCCCGGGCCGGGCTCACCCGTGTCTTCGTGCTAGACACATTTTTGTGCCCCGGCGGATGGGCCTTTTACCCCCCCCCCTGGTGGCTCACCGCCTTAGCCGGATGTCACTTTTTAGTGTCATTGTTATCCAGGGAGGTACTTAGCCCTTGGGCTGGGCTTTTGGTCGTGGTACTGATCTTTTTGGTGACCTTAAGACCTTTTGTTGCTTAGTCCCATCGAAAAATCCAGAGTGCCTCCACGCCAGCCCCAGAAAAGGCAGGAAAGAGTCAAGTAAAGGGCGATACCGTAGAGCTCCACCGCCTACCGGAGTCTGTGGTGTTGTGGTGTAGTTGTTCATACCCCAGGTCCTCTTCACACTAATAGGCAATTGAGATTGTAATCTTTTCTCTGTGTGATTGTGTGGCCCGGGGCGATTTCCCTCCTTGTGGTCTCGTTCCGTCTATCCTCTTGCTTCCCGTAGTTCTTGTGTTCACCTTGGCAATGGATGTCGTGTACGCTCTATTAATTTGAGATCCAGTGTTTCCCGTTGTCTAATGGGGGTGGGAGTTTCTAACTATCTGCCAAACATGTGTAAGCCACATACGTTTCGAATAATTATAAGTTGTGAAATATCTTATTGTGTTATGGTTCTTATTTTTGTGTGCTATGCGTACTATTTGATTTCCGAAAAGAGCACCGAATTCGTAGGTGTATAAGTTACCCTGGTAAATTTGAGATCTTAATTAGGTAGTTGGGAAGTTAGAAAGTAATTTAAACCAATCATTCTTTTAAGGGCCAACAGTAGAGTTGTATATTCAAAGAGGGCTCACAGCCAAAAAGAGCTTAAAGTATGGCAATATGAAAGATCTTTTCTACTCCACCGCCGTTAAAACAACAGTGGAGTTGCAGTATTTATAAATAAATACAGATTTGCTGCTATCTTCTTTCTTCTCTTCTTCTGTTTGTCCTTCTTTTACTATTTAGCGTAAAGTAAAAAGAAGTTTGGATCCTCTTCTTTGTCTTTGTCCTGATTCTTCTTTTTCTTTCTTCTTCTTTTCTTCTTATCCTCTTTCTTCTTTCTTCTTTTTCTTCTTCTTTGTTCCTGTATAAGCGAAGTGTTTATATTTCTTGAGAGTAGACCTTAGCGGAGACACCACTGGTTACATTGCCATAGACACGTGGTTGAGGCTATGATGATCTGATCCTACAAATAAAACTGCCAAAGACAAAAAGAAAAATATAGATAAAATCTGCTAATTAATTTAAGATTTCAGTAAGCTTTCAATAAACCTATATCAGCTAAGTTATATTGGAATGTTTATGCTAATCTGTGTGTGTGTGTGTGTGTGTGTCTGTGTTAGCTATAATAATTGTTCAGTCGTATTGTTACGATGTCTGCAGTGTGGCACTTTTTATTGATCTCTAGCACTGGAGGATCATACCGCAGACATATAGTTTGAAGTCCCACCCAGTCACATTATCCTGACACCAGGCTGACCAATCCTAACACTAACATCCTAATGCTGAGTGCCAAGCGAGGCAGCTGTTAATACCATTTTTGTTAGTCTTTGATATGACTTGGCTGGGGATCGAACCCACGACCTCCTGCATCTTAGGCAAATGCTCTAACCACTAGGCCACCGGAGTGATCACCATGACAGATAACATAAGATTCTTGTGGTTACAGATTTTTTAATTAGGACATATAGCGGCATTGACCTTATGTGGTGCATAAAAAAGAGGCTGAGAACAGTAGTAGTTATCAGTTAAAAGGAAAATATTATCAAAATAAGGTATGCAATATTTTACAAATATTTTTAAAAAAGATATGCAGCAATTCTGGTATTAAAAAGGTGGAATATTTAACTTCTTATAGTATGTGTGAGTAAGATAATCAATCTTTTTTACAGTAAGCTGAAAAATTGCTGGGTGTAAATCACACCTGCTGCTCCATTGATACATATATGAACATGTTGGTAGGATACAGATAGTAGTAGTAATGAGGTACATACTGGAAAGAAATCATTGAAGTGTGAAGTGTGTGATACATACTGGAGAGATATCATTGAAGTGTGAAGTGTGTGATACATACTGAAGAGAAATCATTGAAGTCTGAAGTGTGTGATACATACTGGAGAGAAATCATTGAAGTGTGTGATACATACTGGAGAGAAATCATTGAAGTGTGAAATGTGTGATACAATGTTTAGTTTAAGTGAAAGTCAAAAGCAGCACACATATATGCATAGTGGAGAAAAACCATTTACGTGTGATTTGACGGAATGTCCAGAGTGGACATCTGAAGAGACACATGGGGATACATACTGAAGGAAAACCATTGGAATGATCATTGGGAGGACATAAAGATGGAAAATTCCTTGAAGGGTGAAGTATGTGATGAAAGGTTGAGTTGAGGGAACACTCTCAGTGTACACATGTATGTATGTATGTATATATATATATATATATATATATATATATATATATATATATATATATATATATATATATTGTGGAAATAAACATTTTTTGTGAGGCATGTAGCATAAAACTATTTAAGTTTGAAGTTAGTGGTGAAATCTTTAATGTGGGGATCTAACGTATTTTGTGTCGTGTGTCAAATGACATGGGTTTTTTCATTGTGTTTTGGATAAATAAGATGTTATTTATTCATTCTATATAATAGTTATCAGCAATAACAATAATTATCAGGATATAATAATAATAATAATAATAATAATAATAATAATAATAATAATAATAATAATAATAATAATAATAATAATAATAATAATTTTTTATTTATAGAACGTGACTCATTAGTCAAGGACTATTCTCCCTTGAGGCCTTCTTATACAATATCTAGTTTCTGTTGAACACCCAGCTCATCTAATCATGTATGTCAGAATCGTTTGTAATATTCTTTTGTTTCAGCTGCTAATCCCAGAAATAGTGTTGTTTCTTATTCAGTCTTTCTGCTTGTAATTGGCAAAGTATTAAATTCTCATTCTACAATACAATTTTAAAAATAAAAAGCATGTTTTCAATAGATTTTTGAAACTTTTAACAGTTGATCCTGGTTCACAAAATAGCACGAATGAAAATAAAAATCGTAAGAGTTTTTGATGCTTGGCATTATTACAACTTAACGTTTTACGATGTTTTGGATTTAGACTAGTAATAGATGCCATACTGGTCATAATATAGCTGGGGTTTCTACAATTTTCATTAATTTTCTCAAAATGTACTTTCTTACTTAGTTCTGCAAATCCAAATTACATGAGCTATGTCAATTAAGCCTTAGAATAAGTAAGTATAACGGTATCTTAAAAAGGTTACTGCATTTGTATTGGAAAATATAAACTCCTTTTCTTGGTTGAATACTAAGGTCTTGCAGTATTAATCAGAAAAAGAAAACTTTGTTCATATTTTCCCATAGAATGACATTAGAACTCTTCCTCTATCATAAACTTGAAAGATTATCTTAAAAAAATCAAACTTGATTCAGTTGCACCTAAGCATGATATCAGTGACCTGTTATCTCCACCAAGTTCATGCATATAGTCCATCAGCATGGTATTATTCATGCATATAGTCCATCACCATGGTATTATTCATGCATATAGTCCATCACCACGGCATTATTCATGCATATAGTCCATCACCATGGTATTATTCATGCATATAGTCCATCAGCATGGTATTATTCATGCATATAGTCCATCACCATGGTATTATTCATGCATATAGTCCATCAGCATGGTATTATTCATGCATATAGTCCATCACCATGGTATTATTCATGCATATAGTCCATCACCATGGTATTATTCATGCATATAGTCCATCACCATGGTATTATTCATGCATATAGTCCATCACCATGGTATTACTCATGCATATAGTCCATCAGCATGGTATTATTCATGCATATAGTCCATCACCATGGTATTATTCATGCATATAGTCCATCTGCATGGTATTATTCATGCAAATAGTCCATCACCATCGTATTATTCATGCATATAGTCCATCAGCATGGTATTATTCATGCATATAGTCCATCACCATGGCATTATTCATGCATAAAGTCCATCAGCATGGTATTATTCATGCATATAGTCCATCACCATGGTATTATTCATGCATATAGTCCATCACCATGGCATTATTCATGCATATAGTCCATCAGCTTGGTATTATTCATGCATATAGTCCATCAGTATGGTATTATTCATGCATATAGTCCATCAGCATGGTATTATTCATGCATATAGTCCATCAGCATGGTATTATTCATGCATATAGTCCATCACCATGGTATTATTCATGCATATAGTCCATCAGCATGGTATTATTCATGCATATAGTCCATCAGCATGGTATTATTAATGCATATAGTCCATCAGCATGGTATTATTCATGCATATAGTCCATCAGCATAGTATTATTCATGCATATAGTCCATCAGCATGGTATTATTCATGCATATAGTCCATCAGCATGGTATTATTAATGCATATAGTCCATCAGCATGGTATTATTCATACATATAGTCCATCAGCATGTTATTATTCATGCATATAGTCCATCAGCATGTTATTATTATTGCATATAGTCCATCAGCATGGTATTATTCATGCATATAGTCCATCAGCATGGTATTATTAATGCATATAGTCCATCAGCATGGCATTATTCATGCATATAGTCCATCAGCTTGGTATTATTCATGCATATAGTCCATCAGCATGGTATTATTCATGCATATAGTCCATCAGCATGGTATTATTAATGCATATAGTCCATCAGTATGGTATTATTCATGCATATAGTCCATCAGCATGGTATTATTCATGCATATAGTCCATCAGCATAGTATTATTCATGCATATAGTCCATCAGCATGGTATTATTCATGCATATAGTCCATCAGCATGGTATTATTCATGCATATAGTCCATCAGCATGGTATTATTCATGCATATAGTCCATCAGCATGGAATTATTCATGCATATAGTCCATCAGCATGGTATTATTCATGCATATAGTCCATCAGCATGTTATTATGGACATCAGAGTGTGTAGTGTAGATATCAGTCACTTTCTCCAACAGTCAATTTTTAATGGGCATTGCATGCTGAGTAGGAAACTAAGCCAGAGGACAATCAAGTGTAACAGAGGCGTAGTTAGGGTGGAGCAGGGGGGGTACATATGTCCCCGGGCGCCAAGGTACAGGGCGCCAAAATGAGGCTTACAACGTTACATTTTAATAAGTAAAATAGAAAAATGTGATTAAACGGGGAGAGGGCTGGGGCGCCAATTTTATAGTTCGTCCCCGGGCGCAAAATATCATAGCTACGCCTCTGAAGGGTAATTAAGATTGATGTTCTGGTCCTAATGTGTAAGTGACAAAAATTGCACACATCAGAATTTCTGTGCCTCAAACGAATCGTATTTCAATTCCATTGGTCAATGCCCGAACACACGAATCTATTGAGAACCCAGAAAAATTATCCAATGGTGAACTTAAAAGTTCTAAAATTGTTACAATCTTATTGATGCAATAAAAGAGAGACAAGATAGAGATATGTCATAGACATTTTTAGAATAATTGTACTAAAATAGCATTTTTAAATATAAAATTTATCACATGATTTCAATATTCAGTGTTATTCATTTGGGAATACCAACCTGTTATTATGACACATTACTAAGAGGTTATCTGGTGAAAAGTTATCTGGTTATCAGCAAACTGAGTTACAAGTAAAATGAGCAAATAAGATCAGGTTTATTTATTGGTCACATATATCTCTTAAAAGTAAGACTTGGTGCAGATTCACTGCACTGATGCAATGAACATCAATCAAGGTAATGTACTATAAGCAATATGAATATAGAAAATACAGTGGAACCTGTCTTGAAAGACCACCCATTTTGCCAAAACATAATGGTCTCTCATAACAGGTGGTCTCTTATAACAGGTCATAATACTATATAATCAATACATCTCTACATAAAGAACCTGGTCTCAAGACAGGTAGTCTCTCATAGCAGTGGTCTCTCAAGACAGGTTTTACTGTATTGCACGGAAATATTGTTCATGTGTAGGGCATTTTTGATGTTGGGGACTTTCTCACCCTTGGAAACATGGACAGTTGATGGCACATATGTGCCATCTCTTTTCTTTCAGTAGTACTTATAAGTCTAGATAGAAAAAAATACATACCAGGAAGGACAATTGTATATTGATATTTTATGTGATGGCAGATGGTTGGTTGGTTGGTTAAATTTTTACAGCGCACCAGCACAAAGAGGCCATTTAGCGCCATACAAAAGGTTATATCCTTCATTATATACAAATGGTAAAAAGGTTCTGTATCGGCCAGCAATACGAAAGCAAATAGCTAAAGGTAAAACGATAAAAATGGTAACGGTAATAAAAAAATAAAGTTTCCCGATCAACGGGGATTGCAAAGAATATAGATGCAATGCAGATTTTCGTCAATAAATATATACTAATATCTTTATTACAAATAAAAGTGTGATTTTTTATATTTCATACTTGCAACCAAGACAAAATATGAATAATTATTTTTTTTTCAGCACTTCACAGTCATAAACTAAGTAAAGAAAAGTGC